GTAGGTTGAAGTGAAGGAATGCTTCGGGTTTTTTGTGTGATAGAATGTGATAGAAAAGATTGAAAGGAAAATTTTATAAGACGGTGGTGAGACCTGCAATGCTCTATGGCGCTGAATGTTGGCCTTTAAAAGAGAAGCATAATAATAAGTTAAGTGTTGTCGAGATGAGAATGATTAGGTGGATGAGTGGCTTTATACTTAGAGACAAAATGCGGAATGAATATATTCGTGATAGGGTTGGTGTAGCTCCTGTGACAGACAAAATTAGATAAAGTCATCTTAGATGGTTTGGTCACATTAAACGTCGACCATTTGGTGATCCGAGTATGAGAGTAGATGTTTTAGATTCGACTTGTGTTAAGAAAGGCAAAGGTAGACCTAGGAAGACTTGGGTTTATTGTATTAAAAATGATCTTAATTTACTAGAACTAAATGAAAATGTGACACTAAATAGGACGCAATGGAGAAAAAGGATTCATGTAGCCGACCTCACATAGTGGGAGAAATAAAGTTAAGGCTTTGTTGTTGTTGTTCTTGTTGTTGTTGTTGTTATTGTTGTTGTTGTATCTATCATGTGTAAACCTTGTTCGAGCTGGGCTTGAACCCTTTTCAAATCAATATAGTCTACAAAGGACTTTAAATAAGTAATTATGTTCAAAAGATTGAGCATTTGATATGAAATAAACTTTCAGACATGTTTCTCATAGAAAATATAGCGGAATTTATTTAGCTAATTGAGGCTATTGTGAGCATATATAATGTCGAATTTCCTTCACCATTTATCAAAATCATACAAAATTGCTTCTAAAAATATCTGTTTATTAACACTATTTTGAGACTATTTTTTCATTTCTTTAAGAATACGTTAAATCACTGCTGAAACTGAAACTATTCTCAATGTTTGGAATAAAAATCGAGCTTTGAAACCTATGTTATGCCATTATCATTTTATTGTTATTATGAGCTGGATATGTTTTAACCGATGTAAATACAACTATGCTGTAATTTGACTAATAGAGATAGCATGCTATTGAAGATCCTTAATGCTGTTTGCTACGGCAGTTAATGAATGGATTTTCAGCAGCTGAATTGATGTTTGGATTTGCTAGTTGTTTGATGATACACAACACATCCATTACTTTTTCTTTGAATTTTGTTATAGTTTTGGATTTCTTCTATGAAGTAGCTTTATTTTTATTTCTAAATGGTTGTTTCATTTGTTTCTTAGCTTGGATTTATTTTTTGTCAGATTAATCCATTACAATTATATTTCACCTTATAGCTAAATTCTGGAGATGCTGGCGGAGCAGTAGATTCTGGAGCACTGTCAATGACTGGAAATACTGGTTTGCTTGGGTGCGTCAAATCTTTAGTTGGCTGAAATAAATTTTTGGCTTGATCAGCTACATACTGGATGTTTACTTGAAGAAATCATTTAAACTGCAGGAAGAAAAGTTTTATGGCCTTATCCTAATTGGAGTACCATGGTTCAATAAAACAAACTATGGATACTCTTACTGATTCAGTATTTAAGGAAAACAAGATTATGTTCTCCCCTGATTGCCATTTTACTACTTAACCTGAAAACCAAGAATCTTTGGCTTGCAGTTTAATTTTCTTTTGCATGTCACAGAATTCATGCACTTCCTACTCCAGCTTTTATTCATTTTATTTTTTTGAAATCAACCTTTTGGTCCACATTTTTTTTATTTAAATTCATATTGTTTAACTTAATCTATGTTCCACATGTTTGCAACTTGAATTCTTTTGATTTAAAATCAAATCTTACAAAAAATAATAACGCAGGTGGGCTATGAGCTCTTTGACTCTGAAAGGAAAAGTTTCTGAACCTGTTTCAACTGTCTCTGCCAATGCCAATTCTTCTTTAGTTTCAGCTTCTTCAACTGCTACTTCAGGTAATTTAAATTTTGGGATTAAAAAAAAAAAGCTTGTGATATTTTTTTTCTTTTTGATTTTCTTATTTCTTATTAATAGTTCAAATAATACTTCAGTTTCTCATCTTTTTTTTTTTTTTTTACTTTTGTTTATTTGCTTGCTTACATTGTTTAGAAATAAGTGGGTTTAATGTCTGGAGCATTGATATCCCTTCACTCAGAATAATTACAGTTTATACATAGTTATGTAAACTTACAACGTGCTTGTTTATGTAGAAGTTTTGATACCGGAGTTAACCCAAACAACAATATGAAAGCAAATATTATTACTGAAAGAGTATGTTGGAGATTACAGCCCAACATACTGAAATAGGAAATAACAAGAAGAATGTCAACTCTGATTCGGGCTCCAAGGTTGTGGTGGAGGCTGATGGGGGTTGTTGAGAAGTGATTGTGTGGTAGGAAAGTGGAGTAAGGGGGGAGTACAGCAGGGGAATAGCAGATGCTGTCCTGGACAGCAGCACACAGGTAGGAAGGCTGCGCAGCGGTGAAACAGCAAAGCAGAAGGGTTTCAGGGAGGCGGCAGCGAGGTACGATGACTGGACATCAGTAAAACAACAAGGTGACAGAGTTACCGGGTTGCAGCAGCGATGCAGGGCAGCTGGACAGTGGTACAACAGCTAGGAAACACAGTTGCGGGGCTGCAGCAGCAATGCAGGATGGCTGTGAAGTCTGGAATTGAGGTGGGAAAGCTGTCCTGAACTGCAAAAACCAAGGTGTAGCTGGTCTGGAGCAACAGAAGCAAAAGATGGGTGGTTTGTGGGTGCTGGCAGCAAGTCGAAGTGGCAAGTGGAGCTCTTTGGAAGGCGGCCACAAGTCGGAAGGGAGGAGTGTGGGGTTTGGAAGGCGGCCGCAAGTTAGACTGCAGGAAAAAGCCAATGAGGGTTGTTTCTGGGTGGCTATATCAGGTACGACGATGGTGGAAGCGGAGGGAAATGATGTAGAGGAAGGGAAAGTCAAGGATATCTCCACCTCGGAACGAGATACAGACGGTGCATCACTCGTCTTTGGATACAACCCTAGAAGGGGAGTGTAACAAAACTGCCAATTTTTATGCGAGGCTGGCTCTGGATAGGTCTTTTGTTTAGGATTCTTGCACTTGTTACCCCTCTTTTTTGAGTGCGGTGGGCGCCGATGCCAACCACACTGCACCTTTTGTGTAACTTTTATAGCCCTTTTTTTTACTTTTTGATTTTATATTATGTAAAATGCACACTCTTTATTGAAGGGGAAATTGTAGATGTCTACAGCTGTCTGGATAAAAATATACAATAAAACTAACCCTAAAATATAAAAAAAATAAAGATATAATAATATGAAAACTAGGAGTAGCCATAGAGGACCAAACAACTTAATAGAAACAAAAAATTCTGGACTGGTTCAGTCCAAGCACGAAGTGGGACTCCCGTTTTTCATCGCAGGAAATCCCATGTGGGATACGCCCCACATCAGTTTCCTGAGGTATGGGAGTTTGACCCCATCCGTCGAAGCTTCTGTCGCCTCGTAGTATGGCATCAAGTCGGTCACGTTGAAGGTGATGAATCTACCGTAACTTCCCGATAAGTTAATCTCGTAGATTTTAAAGCACATTCTAATAAAATAAGTGTCTATACTTTTTCGGCACAACCCGAGCTAGCACTGTAGATAGACGAGCATTCGTAAAAATCATGTCTCGAGTGATTACATCTGTAGACTGCTTCTCCCACTTCTCGTGCTCTGTTGGGCGTATTTGATAAAAAAGTATGTGAGGGGGAGTCAACTCTGAGATAAAATCTATCGCAGACTGGGTAACTCTCACTAGCAACTACTCGGCACTCATATTTTTTTTCTCTGGTAAGGCCTAGATCCCAGTATAGAAATTTCTTTCCCACCAGGCTTCTCAGGCAATTTTCAATGTTATGGTTCACCCCTCCTATCTGATCATTTGTCAGTGGGTACACTATTGAATTGAATTTAATATTTCAATAACTCTATATTGCCTTCCAAGAGTAGCTGCCAAGTTTCTCATTTCTGGCATATTGGACCACTTTCAGTTGTAACCACATAATAGATGAACTGTTGGTCTGGGGGGTTGTCCCTTTTTAGGTACCGGCTCATCGAAATATCTTCTAGAACAACCATGACTATTACAGTTGGAGCCTCTTTCATGGGCTTAGCTTGAATAACTAGCATCTCTTCTTCGTTGGCTTGAAGTTGAGGCTCACTTCTTACGTCTCCATGCTTTCCGGTGTCACTATCTATTTCTTCAACTCTCTGCTCAGTGAAATAGACCATTCTCTTGTTTGGGCAATATGATGCATTGTGCACAAAATCGTTGCACTTGATGCACTTCTTGGCGGGGACAAATTTGGGAATGCTAGTTGGCTTCATCTATTCTCCACTTTGAACTAGTTTCTCCTCAGTTGAGGTAGGCTTGGATCCTTTGTTGGTTGTACTCTTGTTGCTTGATCTTGGGGTTGTACTCTGTCAGAAGTGGAGGTCACCTGATGATGTTGTTGTAGTTGGTGAAGTCTCAAGAAGATATCTTGCCTGTAATGAACTGATAGGTATTGGCGGTGTATCTCTCATTTTATTATAGACCAGATGGTAATTTCACTCTTCTCTTCTTGCTGTCAAAGAATCTTCAAGTTCTTCCACCACAGAGATGCATTTTTCTTTAATTTTTTGGCGCCATTCTATCTGGTGGATGTCCTGGCACTCAAAGATACGTTTCACAATTTCGAGCTGTTCGAAGAACTCATACGGATTCAAGTGGTCGTTAAAATATGATAAATTTTACTTTACTTCAAGATTTTGGTTTCTCTGATGTATCATGCCAAATCTTTGAAATAATGATTTTTTATCTCTGGATTATGCCTGTTGAAAAGCATTTACTACACCTCTCAAAGGCGACGAGCCTTTATTGCAGTTGTAGGATTTTACGCTACACCTCTTCCATGGTAACTTCCTGAACATTTCTTTGGGGATTTCTCATAAGCGGCATTGTGTCATTTCCTCCAGATCAGGTTTTTGACAATTGTCTCTTATTGACGTAGTTAGGGTTTAGGTTTCAGAGGTGAAAGAAAGAGTACGAGATTGATCTGGTAGGGGAAAGAAAATTTATTGATGGCTGATTTGAAAAATCCCCGAAGGGTTTGTGGCTGAAGATTGGACTAGGTAGTGGTTGATTTATGTAGTCTTATTGTAGGACTAGTATTAGACTAACTCTTATACCAAATGATACCGGAGTAAATCCAAACAACAATAGAATAATAAATATTAGTACTGAAAAAGCAAATAGAAGACTACAACCCGACACACTAAAATAAGGCAAAATAAGTAAAACAGACAACTCTGACTAGGGCGACTCCAAGGTGGTGTGGAGGCTGATAGGGTTTGGGGTAATGTGGCGGTGAGGTTAGGAAGTGGAGCAAGTGGGCTAGTAGAATGAAGGAATAGCAGATGCTTGTTGTCCTGGACGACAACATGCAGGTAGGATGGCCAAGAAGCTGTGAAACAACAAAGCAAAAGGGTTTCAGAGATGCGACAACGTGAACAGACAGCGGTAAAACAACAAGGAGACGGGTAAAACCACAAGGGATGTAGTTGTGGGTTTGTTGCATCGATGCAGGATTGCTAGGAAGGCTAAAATTGATGTGGGAGATGTGTCCTAAGTGGAAACATCCAAGGTGTGGCTGGTCCGGAGCAATAGTAGCAAAGGATCGGTAGCTTGTGGGTGCTGGCAGTAAGACAAAGTGGGAAGTGGGTTCCTGGAAGGCAACCACAAGTAAAAGGGAGGTGTGCGGTCTTTGGAAGGTAGTGACTAAGTGGATGACAGAAAAATAGCCAAGGAGGGTTTTTTTTCCGGGCAACTGCAATAAGTAATGCGACGGCGGCAGCAGTGGGAAAGGATGTGGAGGAATAGAAAGTTGAGGATAGTCACCACCTCGGAACGAGATACAACGTCGGAGCACTACTCGCCCTTGGATACAGACCTAGAAGGGGAAATCGAAGACACCGACGATTGTCCCATTAGAAAACACACCAAAAATTAACCCTAAAATATCAAAAAAATAAATATATAATAATAGGATAATTAGGGGTTTCCAAGAGGACCGACCAACTCAGCAACAACAAAAAACACCTGGACTTGTTCGATTCAAGAAGGAAAGCAGGACTCCCACTTTCTGTCATGGGATATGCCTCACATCAAGTTTACTGGTAATACTTGCTATTGGCAGACGCTATTTTCGGCTTTGATTTTTCTTGTTCATGTTCCTCGGTCAAAATGATTGGATTACACCTTCCCTACTAGTTATCTGATTTCTTTTAACATAATATTGTAAGATTGAAACCTTTGAGGTTGACCAATGTAACAACTTGAAGTCTCGTCCATCCAGATAGTCTACTTAGACTAATGGACTTGCGGTTTTGTCTTATTGTTATAACTGCCAAAGAGTTTATACATTTGAGAGCGCTCCAATTATCCAATACGAGCACACTTAACTTTGAAGTTTTTGATGAAATTTTACTTGTCACACCAAAAGGCACTGCTCTCCCCTACTTAATGTGATTTCTGATTAGTATTCTTAACCCAGAATCTTCCACTAGGTAGATAGGATTTTAAAGGTGGCCCAATATATATTTAAGAGGTGCTTCTCACCATTTAGCACCTTGTCTCACCTATTATTCAAGTTTTAGCATTCATGGCATAGAGTTTTATTTTGTATGGCATTTGATTTTAATCTTTAGATTGGTTTAATGCTTTGATATCATTCTTAGTAGCTTGAACTCTCAAAATAATGAGATTATCCTTTGTAATGCTCTGGTACCATTCATATAGCTTGAACTCTTAAAATAAAGATATTTTCTGCTTTAGCTTGATGTTTAAAATAAAGTAAAATAAAGATATTTTCTGGTACCATTCATATGGCTTTATGGTTTTTCCCTATTGGTGTAACTTCCGAGGAGGTCACCCATCCCCAGAGTGCACTTGTATGTGCCTGCATAACTTTGAAGTTTCTAATGAAATTTCAATAGTCACACAAAATGGTATCTTGATGTTTAAAAGTTCAGTTTCATTCAACTTATGGGTTTTCATGATCAATGCGTATGAACATGTTTACTTTGTCCTCTTTTTTGTATGCATTGGGCGACATAATAGTTTTGTGGTGTGTGATATACATCACCTTCCTGCAGTTTATATGTTCCAAATTTACTCTAAATTGAATTGATGTGAATCTTAAGAATTAGAGATTGGTCACTAAGTTGGATTTTTTGTGCATTTCCTCTCTGGGTTTATAGCATTGATATATTCTAAGCCATCTGTTTCCTTTTTCATTTTTTATCAATGGGAAAGGAAGTTCTAAATTTCATTTGAATGTGTTTGATAGTCTTAGATAAACCTCGTTATCCCCAAGTGTTTGGACATCTGAGCTGAGAACTTACTGGGCTGGAATAAAAGTATGCTTCATTTAGTTGGAGAGCTGACTATTTTTTAGTAAATATTTGTTTGTGTGCAAAATATTCTAATTTAAGATCATCTTTGTAAGCATTGTCCTTGTATAAATTATTTGGAATCCACTTTATGATTCCTCAATCTTCTTTAGCTCCCAGTCTGCATGTAAGGTTTAATATTATTTGGGCGATTTATTGATTTTGTACTATGATTGCATGACTCCATGATCTCCATTTTCAAGTATATGATAGTTGGACCCTGTGATGATTCTTTTGCTCCAATGGCAAGAGGAAACATTTGTGGGTTGTAGAATCAAATGCCAAATTGATAGTTCTTTGGAGTCATATTTTTTATGATTTCATTTAAATTTATCATGGTAAACTTACAAGCTATGCTGGGAGTAAAATGTATTAGGAGTGAATATTCACTTTGCAAAAATATTATTGTCAATTTTAATATGAATAGGTAGCCATGTTACATTAGATATTTACAATTATGTTGGTTGGTGCAACTGTGCAAGATAATCAACAAGATTTAAAACTGAGGGAGTTACCACATAGTACTCAAAATATTGGGATTTATATTTTCAACATCTAAACTTCACTTTTTACATATTTGAATATTTAATGTGAAACCTTATTTAAACTTGTTATTATTTACATAATAGTTTTATGCATTTGAAACAATTTTATCTTGATATATCAATTAGAGTGTTTTTTGTAGTGCATGAAGACATTATATTTGTGTTTTTAGCCTTTTTCTCATGAGTGCTTTTAGCACATGTTCAACGAGCTGTAACGGCCTACTACGATCTCAAGAGACTAAAACACACGCGCGTACACACAGATGTGTGTGTGTGTGTGTGTGTGTGTGTATTACTTGGCGTTGAGATGCCTTCCATTTGGTGATAATATAAAATGCTTGTAGTGTTGATTAAATGTAATAAGAATAGCATTTTTGAATAAGTGACTCACTCTCTTGTGATTTCACATTGTTATGAATGCAGCGGAGGCCCTGGATACGAGAACGGAGCATTCTACTTCCATCAGCAGCTCTCTTGATCGACCAACCCCGTCTTTAACGTCATCGGATAGTTGGGGTGAGCTTCAAAATGGGATTTTTCATGATAATAACGATAGTGAGAAAGAAGGGTGGGATGACATGGAGCCAATTGAGGAATTGAAGCCTCCCACGCATCTTGCAAGCATTCAAGCTGCTCAGAAACGACCATTGGCACAGCCAAAGCAGCATGGTATGACTACATTTGTACCCGTCTTGTCCTGTTTTGTCTTTGCTTTGGAGCTTTTGACGGACTGCCTTCATTTATTTTTAAAATATGTTCAATTTGGTTCGTTTATTTTTAAAATATGTTCAATTTGGTTTCTATTCTATGACTAAATAATTATTGAGACATGATGCTTTTAACACACTATGTCCTCATTTATTTTTAAAATATGTTCAATTTGATTTTCTAATCTTTGACTCAATAACTATCGAGACAGAAAAGTTAGGTGTTCATTTATCTCCTGTTGGCCATTATTAATGGTTTTTGCTAATTGAGATATATTGCAGGCCCGTTAGTTTTTGCATGTTGCTTGTGAAATGTTCTTCTGATCAGCTCAGCCCTGGTTGGGTGAAAATTTTACAGAGAAGTATAAGGTAGAAGGAGCAGAGTTGCAAGGAATATTATTCCATAAAATCATATAGTATACTTTTCAGTTTTGTATATATCTGAAATTGCAAAACAAGCTGCAGTGCTTTCTATTTATAATGAGAAGAGTGGTGATTCTGTCACAGCAAAGGCTGCCGTGCAGCAGTGATGCCACAGGTGGTTTTGTAGAAAAGGGTTGAGAATTTTTTGGTGGTTTCATTTGTACGGTGTTGATGCAGATGGCACTATCTGGGCTCTATTCATGAATGTTAGCTGTTGTGACTTTATCACCTCCCTGCAAACTTGGGAGGCATTTCTGGTTTCATCAGTTTGTATTAGTTGTTGAAACTGTGTAGCATAGAGGGAGTTGATGAAGATATATGTGATTTGATCCTGAGTGGCTAGATGATGAACTATTATTGTCTATTTTCGATCCAGTTTAGGATGAGGTGATAATCCACTTCTTTGTGTTTAGTACAAGCATGAAAGAGAGGTTATTAACAAGTGTAATTGCCGGTGTATTATCACGATGTAGTGGAGTGGGAAGCTGAGTGACTCAACTGAGTTCTTGTAGTAGCCATCATAGCCAAATAATGTCAGTGGTTTCTATATGGAGAGATGCTACTGTTGTTTGCTTTTTAGCCATCTAAGAGATCAAGGTAGAGCCATGGTAGGCACTTTAACCAGTTGTTGATTTCTTGGCTTGAGGTTCTCCATTCCTATCAGAATAAGAATAACCTTGAATTGTGAGATCGATTTTTTGAACAGGTATGCCAAAGTGTACTGTCCCGTTGATGTAGAGAAGTATTTGCTTCAGGAGATGGTAGTGCTGTTGTAGCAGTCTGTGCATGTGCTAATAGATGCAATTGGTGTCATAGGCAATATCTAGGCATGTGATGGTTAAATATTGTAGATGATGGTTAAATATTCTATAGAACCGGTGGGATGAGGAAAGAATGCATGTTGGGAGAATTTTGTTTGGGAGGAAGGTGTGGTAGGCAATTTAGTGGGCGTTGGTGTTTGAACTAGTTTGCTGTCCAGCATGCTGGAGCATATGATTTGTTTGCATCATTTGGAGGCAAAGAAAGATGGACAGAGGCCTGTTGAACTTGGATTGTAGGAATTGGACTTACCATTGATGACTAGCTTTTACTTGTCAAAAGAAGGTCAACCATGTATATTAGAAGGTAGAGAGTGGTAGCTCTCCCTCCTAGTGGAGTAACAAAAAAGGGTTGACATTATTGTGGTGGAACCCTAGATTCACGAGAGTCGGTGAACGTGGTGAACAATGAGCATGGTGCTTGATGAAGTCCATACATAGTCTTTTTGAGAAGGCAAATGTGAGTAGGGAATCATATATCATGGTAGCCTTGACCGTTGTTTCATGTAGACATTCTTATTAAGGCGGCAGTGGAGAAAGGCTTTATAGAGGTTGAGTTGGAGTATTGGCCAATTTTGAGTGAGAGTAACCATATGGAATATACAAATGGTTGGTATGTTTGCACTGTGGCTGAAGGTTTTATTGTAATCAAGATAATACTGTGTGTTTAAAATGATGTGCAATAAGGTGAGCTTTGTGATAAGTTATGGTGTCATCGAAATGAAATTTAGTTTTATGGGTCTATTTGCAGCCTAGGACATTTTGAGTTGGTGAGGGTGGGACAAGTTCCCATATGCCTTGACCTTGGAGAGCTTGGATTTCTTGGGAAATTGTACAAAGCCATTTTGCTTCTTTTATAGCCTAGGTGATACTAGTGGGGATTAGCTGGATTGGTGGTATGGAAGAGATCGAGTAGGAATTTGGGTTTCTCCTTGCCCATTCATATGAGAATGATCATTGGATGACCTACTCGCACTGTAGTGGGGGAGGAAGGAGTAGAGGGGATTGGTGAGGTTGCCAGCTGAGTGATTAAAGTAGGAGTTTGGGAGTGACGGTGAGACTGAGTCATGCTAAAATATACGAGATCAATTGTTGTAATGTAGATGATGCATTATAATCCAAATTTATGAGATATTTTAGGGGAGAAGTGGTCCGAAGATGGTAGAATATTGAGTCATCAATGAGTAACCAAATGTTTTGGGAGGCATTAATGGTAGTTAAACCTGTTTCATGGTGCAGATGTCGTGTTGAATGGGCATTAGTTCCATCCATACGGCTTTCAAAATTGTTGGCTCAAATTGTTTTTAGGACTTGTGAATGTCATATGAGATGATTCTCTAGTGTTATTTGTGGGACGATTCTGTTCCCGATGTTGGACATAAAAACTCGTGTTGGTTGGGTTATTTTGACGATATCACCTATTTTACCTAGAATTATATATAGTAGGAGCAGAATTGTTGAGAAAATTGCTTAAGAAAACTATATATTATAATGTTCTAATTTGTTTGTCTCAAATTTTTTGGCTTGCTGCCATTTTTTTATGGGGAAATTTACATATGCAGCGCACAATTCTTACGCATTTACATCTCACCCCTAAACTTTCATAGTTACATACATAGCACTTTGGTGCTTTAAACCTAGGCATGAAAATGTGTATTTTACTTTTAAAAAGGTGTAATATTGCTATATTTGATGTGATATTAAAGATTTGAGTGAGATGTGTGTAAATATGAAAGTTTGTGTAAGATATGTAAATAAGTCAAAATAGTGTGCTATGTATGTAAATTTCTCCTTTTTATAATGAGAAGATTGATAGTTCTGTTATAGCAATGGTTGTTGTGTAGCATTGATGTCACTCGTGGTTTTGTAGGAATGGTTGAGATCCTTTTTATAAGCTCATTTTCATGATGATGGTGATGATTTGATAGTACTTTCTAGGCTGCTGCTCGTGGTTTTTGTTGTTGTAGCTTTATCATTGGGCATCTATTAATTTATATGATGCAGAAACACTCCTAAATAAGGTGCAGTGTAGTGTCAGGCATGTTTCGAACACGAACGCGCCCCCAATACGGTTTCGACGTGTTGGGCACGGCTAGAAGTGAGATTTAAATGATATTTAAAAAAAAGTTATGCCTGTCAGTTATGTATGTCATAATTTATTGAATTACAAATTTCTAAAAAAAATTTTAACATTAGTTTTTAAATTTAAATATAAAAAAATTATTCTTTATTTTTATTTAAAAATTAAACTTATCTTGATGTATCGCAAGATTGTTAGTCCGCATTTTTTCTATGTGATAAACTAAATAATATTTTTGGATCCCTTATTGTTTTTTCTTCATTATTTTAAATATTCTATTTATTTAATTTTTATCTATTTTTTATAATTCATATCAGGAAGATTTAAATGCATACCACTCAATTCTTATGCATTTACTTATCTAACACTTGAACTTCAATTTTTACAAATATGCCACCTAATCTACGCATGAAATGTGTATTTTACTTTTTAAAAGTAAAAACAATGATATTTTAGACGTGATATGAAAGATTTGGGTTGTATAAAGGTAAAAACCAAGTTTGGGTATTAGATATGTAAATACATAAGAATTGGGTGGTATGCATGTAAATGCCCTTTTATATTCTAATGTCGTGTTTGAAGTGTGTTCATGTCCTGTATTTTCAATAATAGAAGTGTTATGTCTGTTTCCTTTCGTGACATGTTCATGTTCCGTATTTTTATCCATGCATCATAGATTAATTCCAACTATGTGTAATCATGTTTGATTTTATGATTGAACATTGATTATGATATGATATAAAAATTTTTCAAAATTAGTTTTGATTCATGTCGGGAAAGTCTACACTATGGAAGCTACACATTTATTGAGAGGTTTGATGGAAAAGTATAGTAAGGAAGATCTGTATATGATTTTTTGTTGATGTAGAAAAAACTTATGATAAGATGTTCTAAGAGAAGTATGTCGGAGAGTTCTAGAAATGAAAGGTGTTGATATTATTTATATTCAAGTCATTAAATACAAATATGCTAAAGTTTTTACTTGTGCTCAAACATAAAGAGGATTGACCAAGTGTTTTCTTATTTCAGTTGGATTAAATCGGGGATCGGCTTTAAGCCCATATTTTTTGCTTTAGTTATTGATGTTCTTACTGGACATTTACAGGAGGATGTACTTTAGTGTATGCTTTTCATTGATGATCTCCTTCATGTGGATAAGACTAGACTAGAAAAACTTTAATTATGGAGTTCAACTTTAGAGTCTATAAGTTTCGTTTGAGCATATCTAAAACTGAATACATTGAATGTAACTTTCATAGTAGTAGATCTAGTGGGGGAATTTTAACATTGAGTGATCAAGTCTTTAAAAAGAGTGAATGTTTTAAATAACTCGGGTCTACTTTTCAAAGTGATGGTGATATAGATAAGGATGTTATTAGTAGAATTCAAGTTCGATGGTTGAAGTAGAGGAATGCATTGTGCCTATTGTGTGATAAAAATGGATCGCGTAGACTTAAAAGGATAATTTTATAAAATGGTGGTGATACCTGCAATGTTTTATGGCATAGAATGTTGGTCTGTAAATTTAGTGTTGTTAAAATGAGAATGCTCTTGTGAATGAGTGGCTTTACCCTTAAAGAAAAAATACGATATGATTATATTCATGAAAGGGTTGGAGTAGTTCCAGTGGCAACAAGATTAGAGAGAGTCGCCTTAGATGGTTATGTCACATTAAACGTCGACTATCTGATAACCCTGATAGGAGAGTAGATATTTTATTATTTACTTATATTAAGAAAGGTAAAGGTAGACCTAAAAAAACTTGGGCATGTTGTATAATAAAGGATCTATATGACACTCAATAGGACACAATGAAGAAAAAGCATTCATGTTGCTGACCCACTTAGTGGGATAAAGACTTGTTGCTGTTGCTGTTGTTGTTATAGGTGTTGTTAGCTCTGTATTAGGCATCTTTTTTGGTATTTAGCACAGAATGTTCGTTGACGTTATATTTGTGATCTTCATTATGTTCCAGCTGAAAATCCTTCCAAACTGAACAATGCGAAGGCCTCCATCTCTACATTAACAAACTCAAAGGCAGAAGATGATGATCTGTGGGGTTCAATCTCCGTACCTGTGCCGAGTTCTACATCAAAACCTCCTCTTAAGCCAACAGCTGATGAGGATCTTTGGGGTTCTATTGCTGCTCCGCCTCCTAAAACAAATTCCAGGCCTCTCAAGTCTACTGCAGCCAATGATGACGATCCTTGGGCAGCCATTGCCGCTCCTCCTCCGATCACAAAAGCAAAGCCTTTGTCTGTGGGTAGAGGTCGAGGCACGAAACAAACGAATGCTAAATTGGGCGCACAACGAATCGATAGAACATCGTCTTCAGGAATGTAAGCATCTATATGAGAACCTGCAAGCAAAAAAAGGTATTGATATTTTTTCTTTTTTTTTTTTTCTTCCAGGCCACATTTGTAATATTCTTTCTACAAGTTTATATAAACCTACAGCCCACCATGCTGTTTTGATCATTTTTAATTCCTGGCCAACTCATATGTTCTTTGATATTGTAAATTCATCACCTTAATCAGATCTGGTTACCATGTGATATTCTATTCTTCTTGATTTTGTTTCATAGGATGAAAAGTTTGCTTTTGGAATAATTTAGTTTGCCTTCAATTTGAGTTTGGAGAAGTAATTCAGCATATTTAAGGGGTCAGTGGAGTTGAAGTTCTGTAAGTAGAATTCAATAAATTTAATTTGTTATAAAAGGTTGTTTCTGCTTTCAAGCAGCCAAAGGATCTCATAGCCTTGCAGTTAATTAGTTATGATGTAAATTTAAGAAGGTTGGATTGGTCTGCTGTACTATTCTGCTTGACAAATTTTTTATGGGGCTAAGAAGTGTGATTTTGGAATATTTGTACTTCAGAAGGCAGCTTCTCTTATGAGTTATGAGCAATTTCAACAATGCAAAATTAGTAGGAAACAGGCTACATGCTCGTAAATTAATATCATAAGTTCAATGTAATTAATTTTTTTTTAATAATTCAATATGATCTTAGAACATAACATAAAAGTGATTAATATTTTCATGATTTTCGCTCAAGTAATTGTATTCAGCTTTAAAAAAATCATAACTAATATCATTATGCAGCGGCTGTTAAGTGTGGAATTCAGGATTAGACCATGCATGAAATATGGTAAGAGGAAATAAATGTTCCTTAGTTTACTTTGACATAGCACCAGGCCTTCAAGTTGTCATATGGCAGAGATACTTGAAAGATGTTTTCCTTCTGGACTCTTGACTTTCACATTGCTTTTTTCATGCCTTAAATGCCCATGAATAAAAAAAAAAAGTCTCTCATGCACATGGATAAATGAAGAAAAAATTATAGTTGGAATGTGGGTGTCCAATATCAGTGGGTAACAAATAGCAAGAATTAAATGTCATAGGTCTATAATAAATGTTAGATGCCGAAATGATAGTGGGTAATTAATTTTTGTTGCTCGGCTTATGGAAGGTGAAGTAAGATAATCAGGAATAAGGCTGTCAAAATGCTCTTTGTTCGTGAATAGCTAATGTTCGGCTCGTTCGCTAAGGAGCCGAACACGAATAAAAATTTGTTCGTTTGTGTTCGGCCCGTTTTGGCTCTAAATATTACTCGTCAATGAGATTTTATTGATAGATATTTTACTCTCTCTCTCTCTCTCTCTATATATATATATATATATATATATGTATGTATTTTTAAAAGATTTAATTGACCATAAGACTACAAAGATTTATAATCAATTAAAACTATTAATTAGGAAAATAGAAAAAAAATATATTAAATTTGATTCAGATGATGTTTTAATATAAACAATAATTTTTAAATCTTGTCCCAATCCTTAACATCTTATGATTACGTGATTAGGGTTGTCAAAACTACCATTTGAACAGCTCGTGTTTGGCTCGCTAAACAAACGAGCCAAACACGAACACATTTTTTGACCTCGAAATATGAATGAGCCGAACACGGCGGCTCGTTTACACCCCTAATTAGGTGGTGGACATTATAAATTAGCGGTGATGGCAGATTTTGATAAATTGTGGTGAAAATTGGCATTGAATTTGATTGATGGCAGCATTAGGTGGTGGGAGGCAGACCTTTAGAATTCTCTGTCTTGGAATTTTATTCTCCAACGTCTTCTCTGAATATATAAAAATAGAGTTTGTTTATAAATTTAGTTAAAGGAGATATTGTAGCCATTTATGACAAGAATTAGTACTTTCCATCAGATTGTTCAAAAAGGTGTGTGCTGATTAGAGTATTATCTTTAGACATTACAATTCCTTATTTAACACAATTTTGTGATATAAGATTTGTCAAAATGTTCTCATTGATGCAATTTTTTACTATAAGCACATAAATTTTAGAGAAACTTTGACCCTTCAAATGAAGTTTAAAAGTTGTAATTATACTTCTAAATGCTTGATTTCAGTTCTTTATACTCGAATCTGAGCATTATTAATAATATTACGCTTGATGAAGCACGGTATGCCCCACAATGATACCCTACATAAATCGACTCGAGAAGTAACGTAGTCAGTAATGATTTAGCTGATTGAATTTACTTTCAACACCCATTCTAGCATCCTACAAACAAAAATCAGATGGGTAATAAACTCGACCGCCTAAATAAACTTAAAATAACATATTACTACAATTCACGCATTATTAATAAAATTAACGAGTTAAATTATGCAACAAAAAGCCTTTATGCCACTAAGTGGGGTCGGCTATATGAATCATTTTTCTCCATTATGTCCTATTGAATATCATATTTTCATTTAATTCTAATAATTGAGATTATTTTTTATACAATATGACAGGTTTGCCTCTATTCTTCTTAACGTAAGTAAAATCTAAAGCATCTACTCTCCTAACCTAATCATCAAATAGTTAACGTTTAACGTGGCCAAAGCCACCAAACAATCTAAGACAACTTTCCCTCTGCCGCTTGGGCTATACTAACGCTTTCACGGATACATTTGTTTTGTATTTTGTCTCTAAGTGTCAAGCCACTCATCTACCTAAGTATTCTCATCTTAGTAACACTTAGTTTTATGCTTCTCTTTTATGCAACAACAACCCTTTATGCCACTAAGTGGGGTCGGCTATATGAATCATTTTTCTCCATTATGTCCTATTGAATATCATATTTTCATTTAATTCTAATAATTGAGATTATTTTTTATACAATATGACAGGTTTGCCTCTATTCTTCTTAACGTAAGTAAAATCTAAAGCATCTACTCTCCTAACCTAATCATCAAATAGTTAACGTTTAACGTGGCCAAAGCCACCAAACAATCTAAGACAACTTTCCCTCTGCCGCTTGGGCTATACTAACGCTTTCACGGATACATTTGTTTTGTATTTTGTCTCTAAGTGTCAAGCCACTCATCTACCTAAGTATTCTCATCTTAGTAACACTTAGTTTTATGCTTCTCTTTTATGCAACAACAACCCTTTATGCCACTAAGTGGGGTCGGCTAAATGAATCATTTATCTCCATTATGTCCTATTGAATATCATATTTTCATTTAATTCTAATAATTGAGATTATTTTTTATACAATATATTAGGTTTGCCTCTATCCTTCTTAACTTAAGTAGAATCTAAAGCATCTACTCTCCTAACCTAATCATCAAATTGTTAACGTTTAACGTGGCCAAAGCCAACAAACCATCTAAGGCGATTTTCCCTCTGCTGCTTGAGCTATACTAACCCTTTCACGGATACATTTGTTTTGTATTTTGTCTCTAAGTATCAAGCCACTCATCTACCTAAGTATTCTCATCTCAGTAACACTTAACTTAGTTTTATGCTTCTCTTTTAAAAGCCAACATTCTGCGCCATAAAACATTGTAGCTCTCACCACCATCTCCTAACGGTACTTTTCTATCACACAATAGGCATGATGCATTACCCGGTTCAACCAACTTGAATTCTACTAATTATATGATTAGATATATCACCATCACATTGAATAATAGACCAGAGATATCTAAAATATTTACACCTTTTAATGATGTGATCATCATAGTGAAAACTTTGCCACTAGATCCGTTACTACTAAAATTACATTCCCTATATTCAAATTTTAGATCTACTCAAATGAAGGCCTTTAAACTTTAATGTAGATCTCCATAGTTTTTTTTTTTTTTTGAACTTTTTCTTTGGTATTATCCACAAGAAGGATATCATCAACAAAAATCATGCACCAAGGTCTTGTAAATGTACAGTAAGAGCATCCATAATTAAAGCAAAAAAGATATGGGCTTAAAGCCAACCCTGAATGTAATCCAATCGAAATAGAAAAAGACTAGATCAAGCTTTTTTCTGTTCAATCACCAGTAACTACTCTAATATACATATATATAATGACTTGAATATAAGTCATATCAACAACATTCTTTTCTAGAACTCTCCAAGGAACTTCACTTCAAACCTTATCATAAGTTTTTTTTTCTAAATCAATAAAAATAATATGTTGATCCTCCGTACTCTCTATGTACTTCTCCATCAAACCTCTCAATAATTCTATAGCTTCCATAGTAGACTTGCCCGACTTAAATCTAAACTGGTTATGAGAAATCGTTGTATCACGTCTTAATCTATGTTCAATTACTTTCTCTTTCTCTCATAATTTTAATGAATGCTAGATTATTTTAATTCTTCAATTGTTTGCACAATCTTGCACATCCCCTTTATTCTTAAAAATGGGGACAAAAATACTCTTCCTCCTCGCTTCAAACATCTTTTAGTTTTTAAATTAATATTAAAGAGTATAGTTAGTAAGCTAAGAAACTCCCAAATCTTTTAAATATTTTCGCACTTTAATTGGGATATCATCAAATCCTAGTGATTTTCCATCTTTGATTTTCCTGAAAGCCTCCTGAACTAACTTTTTACTAATGTGACGGTAAAAATAAAAAGCCTCCTCACACTTTTTCTAATATATTTTCAAACTAAGGCATATCATAATTTCAGAAGTTTCATTGAAAAGTTTAACAAAACATTTCACCTGCCTATGTTGAATATCTTCTTCTAAGAAGAGCACTTTTTTACTTTCATCTTCAATACACCTTACTTGAATTAAATATTTACCTTTCTTTTCTCATTATTTGGTTAGTTTATACATACATATATTTTTCACCCTCTTTAGTATCTAATCTTTTATGATGATCACTAAAAGCAAAATTCTTAGTGCCACAAATTGTGCTCATAAACTTTATATTGGTCACCTTATATTTTTCCAATATCTCTAAGCTTGTACATTTATCTAAGCTTGATATTTTTCCAATATCTCTAAGCTTGTACATTTAAACCAATTTTTATAACAAAATTTCTTATATTTTATCTTTTCTTACGCATTATTATTCCACCATCAATTATTTTTCTTTATAATTTTTTTTTTCCTTATGATTCTTCATGTACATCTTTTGTCAACTGTTTAATAATGTATGATAATTTATCTCACATAGAATTAGCTTCTTCATGAACATCCCAAATCTTGAAGTTTGCTCGTATAAATAATTTTATTTGTGTTAT